CATGGATACCCATCCTTTCCGGGATCTTAGAGCGCCACCTCTACAGCTCAATCACCTTTAAGACAAGATGTTCGGCTCTCCAAAGCGTGCTGCTTTGGCAGCCGCAAGTCTTCTGGCTGTCTTCGGAAACGGCCCTTCAGTCATGGCGCAGGAAACTTCAAGCAACAATGGTAAGTGAAGCCACATAAGCTCGTCCTTGCTAGCACTCTTCCAAGCTTCGCTCCCAATTGACACCTGTACAGCAGTTGTCGCGGACGGCAAAACCTTTGCCCTCAATGGAGAGAATGTCTCATACCGCTTCCGAGTGAATGAGACCACCGGTGACCTGGTGTCCGATCATTTCGGTGGCAGTATCACTGGCGATATCTTCCCAGGACCTGGTCCCGAGGCACTTGGCGGTTGGGTTGGTTTGCCTGGCCGGTCTCGCCGTGAGTTTCCTGATCAGGGTCGGGGAGATTTTCGTATTCCCGCCGTTCGGATTCGCCAAGAAGCAGGCTACACCGTGACAGATCTGCAGTATCAGTCATACTCGGTGATTCCGGGAAAGCCTGCTTTGCCCGGTCTGCCTGCAACCTTTGGTAGTGAAGAGGATGTCACTACCTTAGTGGTACATCTATACGACAATTACAGCTCCATCGCGGTGGACCTGTCGTACTCCATCTTTCCTAAATATGATGCCATTGTGCGGAGCGCGAACGTTACGAACAAGGGTACTCAAAATATCACCGTCGAGGCACTGTCTAGCTTCAGCTTTGATTTTCCATATGAAGATCTTGAAATGATTAGCCTCAGGGGCGACTGGGCGAGAGAGGCCCACCGTCAGAGGCGAAAGGTGGAATACGGAGTCCAAGGGTAAGTTACTATTCAACTAAGCCCATGACGAAAGCAGCAAATTGACGTTCCACCCGTGATATACAGCTTCGGAAGTAGCACTGGTTTCTCCTCTCACCTGCACAACCCCTTTCTTACGATAGTGCATCCCTCTACAACTGAGTCTCAGGGCGAGGCCTGGGGATTTAACCTTGTCTACACAGGCTCGTTCTCCGTTGATGTCGAGAAGGGTTCCCAGGGCCTCACTCGCGCTCTGCTGGGCTTCAATCCCAGTCAGTTGTCTTGGCAGCTGGGTGCGGGCGAGACACTCACCTCTCCGGAATGTGTTTCAGTCTACTCCAGCGACGGCATCGGCGGCATGTCTCGTTCCTTCCACCGCCTCTACCGCAACCATCTGATCAAGAGCAAGTTCGCCACATCGGACCGCCCACCGCTGCTTAACAGCTGGGAGGGTCTATATTTCGACTACAATGAGAGCACAATCTACCGCCTGGCTGAGGAGTCGGCCGCCTTGGGAGTGAAATTGTTCGTGATGGACGACGGTTGGTTCGGCGACAAGTACCCACGTGTATCAGATAACGCCGGTCTGGGTGACTGGGTGCCCAACCCGGACCGCTTCCCTGATGGCCTATCCCCCTTGGTGGAAGATGTCACGAAGCTGAAGGCAGCAAACTCCTCAACCGACCTCCGCTTTGGTCTCTGGATCGAGCCAGAAATGGCCAACCCCAACTCGACCCTGTATCACGAACACCCTGACTGGGTGCTTCATGCCGGCCAATACCCACGCACCTTGCAGCGTAACCAGCTCGTGCTCAACCTTGCTTTGCCGGAGGTGCAGGACTATATCATCGACTCCATTACCAACATTCTCAACAGCTCGGCTATTTCCTATGTGAAGTGGGATTTCAACCGGGCGACGCACGAGTCACCCTCTCCCAGCAACGACCACAAATACATCCTGGGTATGTACCGGGTGTTCGAAACCCTGACCACGCGCTTCCCCGATATTCTGTGGGAAGGTTGTGCCTCTGGTGGTGGCCGTTTTGACCCCGGTGTGCTCGAGTACTTCCCGCAGATCTGGACCTCCGACAACACCGATGCTCTGATGCGTATCACCATCCAGCTCGGTACCTCGCTGGCATATCCACCCAGTGCCATGGGTGCCCATCTCTCAGCGGTCCCGAATGCCCAGACTGGACGTACCATTCCCGTCAAGTTCCGTGGCCACGTCGCCATGATGGGCGGATCATTCGGTCTCGAGCTAGATCCCGCCGAGCTACACGAGGATGAGAAGGCTGAAGTCCCCGGGTTAATTGCGCTTGCAGAAAAGATTAACCCGATCATCCTGACTGGCGATATGTGGCGTCTCAGGCTTCCTGAGGAGTCCAACTGGCCTGCGGTGCTATTCATCTCCGAGGATGGCAACCAAGCCGTCCTCTTCAACTTCCAGCTCGGCCCTAATGTCAACCACGCCACTCCCTGGATCAGGCTTCAGGGATTAGACCCTAAGGCCACGTATAGCGTTGACGGCAGTGGGTCATACTCTGGTGCAACATTGATGAACATGGGACTGCAGTTCAAGTTTGAATCGGATTATGATAGCAAGGTGGTGTTCTTGGAGAAGCAGTGATGAAGCTGATGATGCGATGCTAATGAGTGTAATTACTTGTATGTAGATAGTGAATGGACAACTAATTTTTTTTTCTTGCTAGTACAGTGCTCTATAATGAATTGTCGGGAACTGCCAGCTAGATTCGGTATGAGCTTCCAGGGGGATGATTCTTTCTGTCAAGCAATGCATACCATCTACAGGATCAATAGAGTTACAATATGTATCCAGAATACTCCATAATAGTTTCAAGGTGCAGAAGCACATGCAAAGAGAGCAAGCCCGAGACTACACTACAGATTCACACCAAGCACTAGTCAGATTATGGTAAAAAAAAAAAAAAAAAAAGCACCAGCAATCATTCCTTTAAACATCTCTTATTCCACAAGGCACGACATCGCGCGCTTTCGAGGATATTCTCCGTTGACCCCATAATATGCTCGAACTCCGAGTCGTCAGGACCAGCCTGCTCCCCGTTTCCAAGATCAACCATGCTCTTAACTCCGAATTTCTGGTTGGGAAAGTACTGATGCACCACCTCAGGTACAACTGAGATACATTTCAGCTTTCCCGCGCTACAGGCGTGCATCATGCTGACATCAAACGCTTCGTCTTGCCCTGCGCCCAACAGCTCTATCACTTTTCGAGAACCGTCCCGCGACAAAGCATATGCGAAAGAACACACGGGATTTGCCGACCAGTAAACGGCGCGTTGATGGTCTGGCATACGTTCCATGTCCCCTTGTGCAAAGCCAAGATAGTACTTATGCGGGCATGCGGTGGGGTCCTCGTAGAAGATTGTCTCGAATAGGTCCTCCCAGTATTCGCCGCAATGACCGATCCAAAGAACGTCCCAGTCACGGCCATATGGAGCTGTTTCATTCTCGGGGGTTTTAGTCAGATTGCGGACACTCTCTGCGACTCGCACCATCTGGGAGCGAATTGTTACGTCCCAGTCTGCATCGTCTTCAATGATTAGGGCAGTATCCAGGTCTGCTTGGATGGTATATTTGATCATATCGAGATGTGCAAGCCATGCAACACTAGCCCCGTGGGAAGGGTGACGAATGTACTCTGATCCTAACGTCTCGAAGGTCGTAACGAGATCGGGATGGATTGGAGGTTGTGGTGGGATATGGATGGAGAGGCCGGTTAGGTTTGCGGCAGCAAATAATCCTCTCGTTCGCCATGAAGGGCCGGTGGAGAGAGCAAGAATAGATTGGAACTATAATGTCACAGGTCAATTAGCACCATATCGAATAGAGATTCTCGAGAGTAGAGAGATGTGTACACCTAAAGTAGCATTTCTTGCGCTGTGTGTGGGTGGGGCCACCGAGGTCGACTCAGATGGAGAGACAATTCCGGTTACTTGCGCCAGAGGGCTTCCGAAAATATACCAAAATAGCCAAAAAAGGCCGAAACCCGTTCCCAGATAGAGATATCGACGTGCAACGACCAACATTATTCGTCTTATACGCAAATCATCTATGGTGAGTTCAGGAGGTTGTGGCAGTGGCCACGGTATCGCAAAAGTCGGGGGAAGTGGGGGCGTGAAACAACGGCCTTTAATGGCGAATATGATCGTGCAAATCCTTCCTCATCAGTACAAATTAATGCCCTGCAGACCAAGACCCTAAGGACCCTAGTTGCATTGAACGGATCCAATGATGTTTCCTCTTTCTCGCCCGGGAAAACCCCTGTCAGCTAATTTCTTACAGAGTTGTTCTTTGTCTGACTATACCTTCAGCCGTGCTATCTTGGGCAGTATAAAGTCACACAAACCTCGCCGAGGCCCACCCCTCGAGCGCTAAGATGCAGTAGATTTGTTAATGAAACAGCCCACCTACGGTTTGACTGATTGGGCATGTTTCCAAAATATCTGTTTCACGGGACAGGACATGAAAGACACCAATTTCTCCAGCCTCAGCCTAACAGGGATATTTAATAACCATGGTAACATGGTAACCGCTCAGAGGGATCAGTGTACCCAAGATGGAGTTGAAACTCCAGGGGCCCTGATCTTTCTAGGAGTAATAGCATGTTTCTAGTTTATTCTCCATTACTTCACAAGTCGACATCTCTTTGCTTATAGGTTTGTCATACTAATATGCACACTCGTTCCTCGAGTCAATCTGAGATTTACGTACTAATGTTAAAATCACTCCTAACACCATTTCTTTTGTGCCAATACTCGGTTCAAGCAGAGCCGGGAATATTCTACAACCCCCCAACTGGGGGCCCTATTCATGTCTACAAGGACAACCCAGTCTACGAACTTGAGCAAATGGTTCAGTTAAGATGGGCGACCAGTTTGGAGAGTATATCCATAATGCTATGGCAAGATGAGAATCCCCATTTTGAATGGCTTCAAAGTAAGTCATTGTCCACTACAGCCTAAGGGCCCCCTCATATTTCAACCTGACGGTAGATGACAGCAAACCTATCGGATATCACAACGTATAACTGGATCGTATCGACCCAACGAAGTCTAGATGATGGTAATGTTTTCTTTTTCCAGATCCGAGATGCCGATGAAGCGGAGAGCCCTGGTTTCTTTGCTAGCCATTACTTCAATATCAGTAAAAGGGCGAAAGATTCGACAACAACAACGACAACATTGTCATTATCAACATCATCATCATCTACAACGGTGTCAGTTATCCCAGCATCGAGACCAACTAGCGAGGCATTGGCACCAACTGGAGTGAACTTAACGCCAGCGAACACGACACTGACAACACCAACACTAACATCAACCGACACGCTTACCACATCAGCGACTTCGTTAATCTCTACCACATCACCCATTACACCCTTATATCCGAGCAATAGCGGTACAATATCACCGCAAGCAAAGGTGGGACTTGGTGTTGGCGTCGGACTCGGATGTACATTCCTATTGACTCTTGCGATCGTCATCTGGTATTTCAAGCTGCGACCGAGGTACTTTCAAGCCGACAGGGCTCAAAACTACCTCTCGGGAAATACTGTGGTTGAGGATAAATCATACATCTTCAAACCTCGGCCAGCCTGTCGAGTCGAAGTTCCTGGACATCAACTTGCACATCATGAGCTGGCATCATGACGTACTATCTACTAGCAGACTTATCTCCCTTGGTATTGTTACTTCAAGTCAAATATATGGTTTTTTATGTTTGCTTGAGCAAGTCCTGGTGAAAATCGTATGAGTAAACACGGGCCCCCAGCGTATTCTCGTAGGAGGCGACTGTTCATGTTTTCCGAGTTACCTGGCTAGACTTCTACTTTAAACGGATTACAATCGTATGGCTTTCTGTCCATAAAAATCCAAGGCTGAGGTTGCAGATGGGCAGATGACCGGTACCGTTGTTTCGGTTTCCAGGGTTTGGGAGCGCACGAGCCATGCCTTACATCAATGGCCATTGCCACTGTCAACCACGTCAGAAGACTACCTTCTTTTATTCAACCAGATTCTACATTATAGTATCATCTTGCAACATTAAAAGAAGATATATTCATCCTAACTATGGTACATGTCTTCTGCGGCTCGTACCTTAGATAGTACGATTGAGGCCTTCTCATGAACTATTTCTCATTGAGCAAGGTCGCTGCATGACTTCTTGACCCATCACTATCTAGCTTTGACCTCGTAGTCACTTGGTTGGTCGGCTTTTTATTGTTGAGAATATAGGCAGCTGCTGCATCCTCTTCTTCATCATGAGCGACAAATCCAAGAACTCTGCTTATTTAGCAGAATACTACGATCTACAGGCCAAGGCGGATGTCAAGACCTTGAACGCCCAAGATGATGCCAAAATCTACCTATCGGCCCTGAAGAAGCAGGTGGAATCCTACTATCCTCTTGATCATCACGGTGAACATCTTGTCGTCCTGGACGTCTGTACAGGAACCGGGCGTGTGCTGGCCAACCTCGCCACCGATGGCGTTCGGGACAACATTCCTCTATCCAATGTCGAATTTATCGGGGTTGATAAGGAACCTTCGATGATCCATCGTGCATTGGCAGTACAGCAGGAGACGCCGAGCATGTCGCACGTCGGTCGCATTGATTGGCTAGTCGGAGAAGCCCTCCATTTAATCTCAGCAGAACTGCTAGAAACCCATATCAATCAGGTTGATTTACTCCTGTCCGCGGCTGGCAGCGTCAGTCTTCTTACCAGGCCAGGGGAGCTCTTGAGGTTTCTCGCTCAGGCTGCTGCACTGCTTCGACCACGATCAGGGCGTTTCTATCTATCTGTAAGGAGAGATCTATTATCGACGCAATCTACGACAGATCCAATGAGCGAAAATGCGACATATACAGGGTTGTGCGAACGGCGTGAATTCCCGAGTGGGCTCTATGAGAATATTGTTTACAGGCAACTGCCGATTGGAAGTCCGACCGTAGAAGGGTCAATCAAAAAGACTCCCTACCAGCTACAAGTAATCAAGTGGACTAAAGCCGATCATGAAGAAGTGATCGAAGAGAGCCATATTGAATCCGTGCAAAAGATCTGGGAAGAGCCGGAACTTTTAAAATGCTCTAAGGAGGCGGGTCTGGAGTTTGTCGAAACCATTCATACTTTACATGAGACGTATTATGTTTTGAAGCAGGCTGGATGATCCGCCTTTGCTCTGGGAGTATGAAAGGCCGTTATTTCTTTTTCTTCTGATAACTCCTTCACAGCACGGTGTGCCCTTTCCTCTTTCCTGTATCTCTCATGGGTTCGCAAAACCCGACTTCAACACTACGGACACCACTTACTTATGCTAATCTCGCTAGCTTCATTGATGATATTGGCGCAGGTTCGATTGAGGTCCTTGTTGTACTTGCTTAGTGCCGAAATTGCTACTTATGTTTACGATGAAGCCGCCGAGTCGGTGATTACCGGAATTGGACATGTGGAGGGCTTCGGATGCTCTTAAAACTTTTAAAAAAAAAATATTAAAATAATTAAAAGAAAATAAAGAAAAGAAAAGAAAACGGGGCGGATGAGGGAAAAAAGAAGAAGAAAGGAAGAGAAGAAGTGTCTGATCGAAATGCCAAGAATTTCATAAAATTCATGAAATTCAGATTGTCAAAGGTTTGGTTTACGAATGGGTCAGACGCAGGGATGAATAAGTAAATGTTGTTAATAGGAAATGGGCACCCACCAAAAGTGAAGGGGAAAAAAAATAAAATAAATACACTATCGCTTTATCTTGATATTTGCTCCGGCGAGGACGCTATACTGTCACTATATATATCTCGTAGCAACCCTACACAGAGGACGGTTCTCTACAGCCCGAATAACCGGGACGCCTGGAAACGAGTTTAGTGATGGAGGTAGGCTCTAATTAACGGATATAGCAACGTTACAAGAAAAATACGGATATAAATGAGCTGTATCGTGTGAAATATGCCTTGACTACCTCATCATAGATGTAGAAGATGCCGACGGTGACCGCCCCAGTCTTAGTATAGTCTCAATTAGCATAATTTGGCAACAAAATTTCAACAAGTGGTCCCGTAACTCAGTCGGTTAGAGTGCTGAGCTAATAACTCAGAAGTCGAGAGTTCGAGCCTCTCCGGGACCATTTCTTTCCAGCATCATTGGTCTAGTGGTAGAATTCATCGTTGCCATCGATGAGGCCCGTGTTCGATTCACGGATGATGCACGACTTTCGCTCCTATGGCTCAGTTGGTAGAGCGCATGACTAGTAATCATGAGGTCCGCGGTTCAAATCCGCGTGGGAGCATTTCTTTTTGCTTTTTTCCCCTTTCTCTATGAGCCGTTCGTCTTTCCTTCAGCTTTCCTCCATACCCTAGTCGTATACAATTTTCGATCCGCAGCCTATGTCTAAGAGCCACCGTAGTAATTATATATCCCTACAGGTGCTAATCGGTCATTTGTGGGATCGGTTCTACTCCTAACATCCATATTCATATAGTAATTCAGTGGTGTATCAATTTGTCAAAGAATAGTTCGTCTCACGTAACTTAAACCCATTAGTCTCCGCTCGCCCACAGGCCAGTCACTCCACCTCCAAGCGCATCTTCACGGAGCACTCGATTTCGCAACTCTCCGGCACAAAACTCAACGCCTGCTCACCCCCACCATCGGCAAATGCAGGTGCCCTTCGAGCGGAAGTATACAGCGCCGGAGAAACATGTCCCTGAGAATCGTCGATCTCAACGGGTCGAAGATTACTCATGTTCAGCGCACCCGCATAATCCTTAGCCTTGGCGAGCGCGTCCCAGACCGCTAGTTTCCTGCATTCCTGTCCCAGCTGCTGTTTTGTATCATCCGTCAACTGCCAGTCGACATCCCGCACCGAAACCAGAGGGTCCTTCGCCACGTCTGACACGAACTCGCCCAGTTTGCTGAAGTCCCGGAACTTGACCTCGAAGTTGGTCCGGGCGGAGTAGACCCGTGCTCGGTGTTCCTGCTTGTCGTGGTCCCAGGGGAGATAACTGCCGGTGCTGATAGAGCTCATGCTCCAGAATGTGACCGGGGCTTCGGGGGTGGGGTCGCCGGACTCCTGCTTCGGCGCGATTTCTTTCAGGAGGGATTGAAGGCGGTTGGAGGTGCGAGTCACGTCTTGAGATACTGTAGACTGATCTTTTCCATCGCTGGACACGTCGAGGTTGATAACGGCGCGTTCAGCCTGACGGTGAAGGGTGGAGGTTCCGATAGTGTGGATTGTAAGACCCATGGCGAACGATTCAATGGAGGGATATATATAGGTGTTTTGGAAAATCAAAACGTTTAGGGGCCGACAGCGAAATTGCTAGGACGTCGTTCAGTATTTATGCATGCAGCTGAGGTGTGGCGAGGTGCCAAAGAAGTTGTTGTTACCTAAATGCTGGAAGGTAAATAGTTAACTAAGTTAGGCAAACAACATGTGAGATTGCGGGACATGTGGAGGGCCATTGAATTCAGGCAACCCAGTAGTGGAGCTCGTGATACGTACTTATAATACTATAAATCCTAACTTAGCAGCCTCTCTGCTTGGCACCTTGTTGTGTTACATCGTGTCCTTCACAACCAGATTGAATTTGTCGGCATAAAATGAGCTGAAGATACTCCAGCGTAAGTGGGTCAACTCGCGCATATTTGGACCTTTAGCCCCATGCGCTAACATCACGGCCATGATATGATATGATAGTATTGGATCAGCCCCTTCAAAGACAAGGGATGTTTGAAATTTGAAGAACTATTGAATCCGCCTCAATGGCAGCTTAACTTGGCGTAATTTGCTCCAGATTGTACCCGACTGCATCGTTCTTCGTCCATACTAGAAGTGTGCAAGCGGTACCCGCAGGTGGGACTATATCAGCCTCAGTGGCGAGCTCGGCTGGCTTCGGAGGAAATCGCACAAATAGGTTTGATCGTTTTCAGTGGTTGTTTTCCGAGCAGAACAGGAGATCTGATGTCACATTCAGTGGGGAGAGAGAGAGAGAGAGAGAGAGAGATGATTGAAGCGCTATCGCGATGGGGTAATGAGGCAGTAGTGGAGGATGTCGAGATTCGCCACCATCACTCAAACATCTCCGGACCTGTGGCTTGGTTCGAATGTACGGCCTAATCGCGTTTACCGACTTTTATTTCATGTGACTCACAATCTCAATGACTAGAAGTTATCGCCCCTAAGAGGCGATGCATAATCTCCAGCTATTAGCAGAGCTGCATACGGCCCCTTCAGCATTCTCCGGACTCTTGTGTGTGTGTGTGTGTGTGTGGCTGGCCTTCGATAGCGAGACTGGTTGTGATGGAATAAGTTTCATTTTTTCATTTTTCTCTAATTTGTTAACCCCCAGGGTCCATGAATTTGGAATATATGCACCGGATAACATATCAGTGCCCACTCCAACCGGGAAAATATGGGTGTGATCCTAAGGAAGTATGAGAAATCTCCCGACCGCAGCTTCTCACCGCTTGACTTGGTCCTGGAATGGTTCGAGGAGATTAATGAGGATAAAATGGGGGAGGCTGGGCAGGAGATCGCTCCATTTATACAATCCGTGGGATCTATCACAGGCTATGCCGTTAAATCTGATCTATTCATTACAGGATACGAATACCTACAAGGTGAACACAAACCTATCGTGTCTCACTAAGAGAATATTGATCTCGCTCCTCATGGGCGGTGCGGTTCAACGAGCAAACTAGTTATGCCTGATCTTCGTTATGGCATATCTCTGGTTTGTCTCTCATTGTGATCTGGTCTAGACCGGAATTGTTATGTGATATGTCAGTTCTGCCAATCCCGGCTTCTGTGCAGATCCAATGCCCGATGATCTGCGTTTACATATCTCATGTGTGCAAGGGATTGGGGCCAAAAGACGAGATAATCCAGTAATTTAGTGAATTAGAACGTCATTTAAGCCTAATCATACTCTGCCAAGCTGCTCCTGGATGCTTCGACGATGGTAAGTGCATATCGACCGTCGTTTTGTTTGCGAGTTCAGTTTTTGGCTAGCATAATCAAGTCAACGGTTCTCCACTGCCTTCTTGTCGCAACGGACAGATTGTAGCGAGCTTCACTATGTGGACAAGCTCGGACAAATTCATTGTAAGAGCATTAGAAACGGTTTATCATACCTTGAAGTGCTCGCCCGTTTTCGGTCCTGCGATAGAGTCGGAGGTTGCGATTCACCGCACCGAAACATGCTTCATGGCATTCTTCGGGATCGTTCCGCGTAACGATTCTGTCTTCTCTCATAAGCCAAGTGGGACTAGGTTTAATAGACAACGGGGCGGATCCTAGGTCGACACTCAACCTATCTGAAGATGGAAGGTCGTTAAAGGCACCCAGTACCCCTACAAAGAACAGAGAATAGGTGCCGCATTAAGCGCACCGCTCAGTCTTTAATGCTGTCTTGGAATTTCTTCATGTTCAAATCCCAGGCTCGTGCATTTCTTGGCATTGCTGAAGACCAGAACCACAGAAGTACAGATAGATGTACGTACAATTCATGATAATCAACCATGAATCATGGACGATCAATAACACGAAAGACTTTTGCCCTCGGGCTCATCCCAGACATTCAGCGCAAATCTGTGAGTTGTTTGGATGACGAAAGCTTCGCACTGACGGTTGGAAGGCTGGAGGCGAGAGACATGTAAGGCGGATGACAGCATTTGCATCTGAATTTCCCCAACATAACAGCTGTACACTAGTATTTGACCGTCACTCCTTCATGGGAGTCTCCGGGACCATTGTTGAGAATCCGGTATCACACGGTTGAGATCATACCACCCACTGCGACGTGCGATCAAAGTGGGCCTCAACGGCGAACGAACTGAACAACAACAACAACTTAGTGGTAGTATGACCAGCCCTAATGCGTTCGTGTATGCACAGCCAACCTGAATGTAATTGAGTTTCTTGATTTCTAAGCTGGTCGCAGAGTTTCTCGTATCAGCTAAGTTTCTGAGATTGTCCTACTATGTACTCCACATCCTCCCCGGTAGTTAGTGAGCGACTGTCGATCTTCATATGAAGTGTCCGCCAGCTGAGGCGGATGCCACCGGTCCGAGCGTAAAGAAGAAGAAGAAGAAGAAGAAGAAGAAGAAGAAGAAGAAGAA